AAAGAATATTTTATTGCTCTTCCAGAAATTATAACAGGTTTGGGCATTGACAATTCCTGAGGGAATTGAATTCTGCAATTGTGGGATTTGTCTTTGCTCTTTAAATATATGATGAACATAGGCTTTTGTAAATTTTCTGTGGTGGGAAGTTTCCTAAAACTAGGAAACACTGTACTAATTAAACTGAAGAAGCATATTTTCTCCCTTTTCTACATAAAGATGTAACAATCGTAATAACATAGCAATCATGTTAAAAACAGAGCCTTACCTATTTATAGTGGAAAAACCAATTTGTTGCATCCATTTACTAAGCATCATGGAAATGAAGAGCTTAATAAAAATTTCTAGTTCTTGAAGCAAATGCTGTATTTTCCATTCTTGCTTAAGCAAACAGAATAGGTCTGGTTATTATTAGGAAACAGAAATCCACTTCTCTTTTCCCCCCTTCCTTTCCCAAAAATGGCAGGAGAAAAATGTACACATTTGGAAATGAAGAAAAGAGAGAAATTAAAAAGGTTCAATATCTGCAAATAGCAGGGAACAGCAATAAAAAGTTACTATAAATGACTCTGACAAATTTAGCAGGTGTGCATTCGATGTCTCTCCACTTAACACACACTTTTTGGCATTTATTAAGTTTTGCTTTTTTATTTTGGGTGTCCCCCCCCCCATGTTGTTTCTTATCATTTTATAAAAAAATAATCTTTGAAAATTGGGGGTGCAGATTATCTGTAACTGATATCTATTGCATACTGTCTATTATATCACTGATGATAAGTGACAAGAATCATCTCTCTTGCCCACATCTCAGTCATGGCCTCTGCGTACTGAAAATTGAGCTTAGCCAGAGCATTTATCTTTGATTTCATTTCCACTTTCATTAGTACTGAGAAGCACCTTAGTTTATTTCCATGTGTTTTTAATTTCTTTCTTTAAACTTGATCAGTTTTCACCCTGGACATTTGAAGAAAGCGTGCAATACCCTTACAAGATGATTTAGAAGCTCTGGGGACCTGCCCATTTATTGAGCTATCCAGTAGTAGTTCTGAGGAGCTCTTGCAGTTTAGGAAGTCAGGGAGCTGTGATCCCCCTAAGCTGGTCCTTGAATACCTGAGCGAAACATAGAAACATACAGCTGGAAGGAGCGATGCAGGATCCAAATTATAACTTCCATGACCGATGGTTGTCTGTCCTTTGCTAGAAAACATCCAATAGAGGTGAACCCATTGCCTGTCTGAGTAATTGATTATCCTGTTTTACCGTTTTTACCATTAGCATTTGTTTTTCAATCGGAATGTGACTTTTCGTAACTTGCATCCATTATTCCATATATGGTACTGATATGACATCATTTTAGATAAATGAAAAATGCTATTGTGTCCTGACCCAGTTTACTCTTCTCATGGATAAACATTCCCAGTTCCTTCAACCTCACTTCATGGAACTTAGCCCTTCTCTGAACCTGTCTCTGTTTATTTGAGTCTTTCTTAAAATGTTGTATCCAGATATAGACAGATACTCAAAGAGAGATCTCCCCAACACAGAAGAAAGTGGACCTATGATTTTCTGTGATTTGTGAACTATTTTTGTTTCTGTAGTCTAAATTTTCATTTGCCTTTTTTGCAACTACATCATACTACTAAATTATATTCACTTTGGGATCAATTACTATTCCAATATCTTTTCCACAAGTATTCCACAAGGTATCTACCAAATATCTTCCATCCTATAGCTGTGCATTTGACTTTGCTTTTTAAGTGAAGAATTCTGCATTTGGTCTTTGTTAAATTTCATACTATTATCGTCAGCTCATTTCTCTAACATAGCAAGATGAGCTTGAATTTATTTCTGCCTTCTAGGGTGCTGGCTTTCTCACTCAATTTTACATCATCTTTAAATCTGATAAACATTCGCTCCTTCTCTTCATAAGAGTAATTAATTATCCTTTTAAAGGATACATTGCTCAGAACTGAAGCATGTGACACCCTACGTAATACCTCTGTAAAATTCTTTTGCATAGCTTTTGCATGTCTCTTCACTGGCAACTATCTTACTATCCATACCTTACCTATGTTGTAACTGAGTAGAAGGAAACTTAAAATAGTGGTGAAAAAGCCTGAGCCCCCCACCCCCCAGAAATTTTTTTCACTGATTCCTCTGAACAAAAATCAGCAGCACAGTTTCCTATTGTTTTGAGAAAGGAAATACATAAAACCCAAGTATAAGCATTAAAATAGGGTTAGCATAGTAAACAAGAAGAAAGAAAGCAAAGACAAAAAATTTCCAAAGCCACAGAAAGGCCAGGAATTCCCAGTACTTCTCACACACATGATGCAGCCCCCACCAACTTTATCACCACCACCAAATAAGTTGTAACCTTTCGCCTTTCGCTGGATTAGGTATAGGTCTGTCACTGAAATTGACCAGTTTTAGCATGGTTCTGGAGTGGTCTTCAATGTGTCTGTAGGCTCCCAACAAGTGCATTTTGTTTCAACATTAAGAGAAGCAAACAAAGTTTAAAGGGGCTTTTTTGCAGTTTTACCTAACCTATAATTAATTTCTGATGCCCGCAGGAATAGTAAAGAAATACTTCCAGTGATTGTCTAACCTGTTTTGGGTTCCTCTGAGTACATATTGATAGGAAAATAAATGTCTGCAAAACTTCTGCTGAAATGCCAAATTATTCAGCCTGCAAAGAAGATTCTCAGTACAGCAGAAATGGAGTAATCCAATAGTTCCCAGTGTTTTTCAGTTGGTGGGCTCATTTAAGACCTTATTACAGGTATTGTTCTTCACAAAATGGCTTCAATAGAAGCAGAACAAGATGGGTGTATTCAAAAACAAAGTATGTATTTCCCAGGAGGTACATGATGATACGGTTTGGAAATGTTCTTTCTAGCACCTCTTAGACTTTCCCACCAATTTATCTTTGTCTTTTTTCCTTAGCAGGCAAACATTCTCCCCCAAAACCCATTGGGTTTTAGTCATGTCCCTTTTTTACTTTCTAGAACCTTTTTACTGGGTCTGGGTGCTTTATAGGAATGAACATTTGTACTAGATGATGGTACTTGGATTGCAACATGCCAGCTAGCCAGACTTCATAAAGGAAAACAGGATGAAAGATGCTGCCACAGTCTCCAGTTATCCTGGAGGAAGTACTTGTGAATTTTGTTTTCCTTTGGGAATATCTTCTGTTCAATATTAATTAGCATAGTAAGCATGCAAAACATTGGCCCACCACAATTTTCTGTGGATATTTTTTAAGAAATGAAGAAAAGAAGTAAATGCTACTCCTGATGGAATTTAGTCACCTTGAACTGGATTATTTAATTACCCATTT